AAAATATATATATATATATATATAAATATATAAAAATACATATAAATGATTATGATATAGCAGCTTTAGCTGTGTGTTATGTGGGAGTTTACTTTGATCCAACAGTATACCACAAAGCAAGGTATCCAAGTGGTCACAGACAGAAAGCTGCACAGACTAAATGAAAATGTTCAAATCACAGGGTTTACTAAATCAATTTAAAACACACAATGAGACAAGGGGACAAAAACAGGGTATTTAAAGCACTTAAAGTAAGGGCAAGTGTGATAGAAGGACCAGACTACCTGAATCCTGGTTTACACAATGTTCAGATATCTAACATCAGCCTTCTCTGCCAGCGGTGTGGTAACAAGGGCCCGAGTTGAAGGTTGCATGAAGGGTCCACAGACAAAACAATCTCCTGTGCCAATGACACACGCTTGCTCTATCACAGAGTTGCCTTGGCCAAGTACGCCTGACCACAGCTCTGGCTCGCCAATTAGCCTGCTGAACAGTCACACACTGTATTTGCCTCTTGTGGGTAGAACACATGTGAAGTCAGAATGAGACTGTAAGGGTGTTACCAATGGATGGCCAAATTTGGAGGTGAAAGTTGTTCACTTTCAGGAATCTTTCATTTATCCTGGCAGCAATGATTGGTACCCATGACAGGGCAACAAAGGAACCATAAAATCTCTGTTTTAATCCTAAAGGAAGGTCTAAATCAGAAAATACGTGTAAAGTCAGAGAATACACTCAGGTGAACACCAGTAATAGAAAAGAAGTTCATTGTTAATCCTAAGGCTGAAAGTATAAACTTGTAAGGGTATATACATCTAGGACCCATTTGGCTTACAGCCGCGCATTAGTAATAATATTATTAATGTTATTTTATTAAAGTAGTATAGTAGTAGTAGTATATGAAACTTTTCCACAGCCAGCATGCAGTTAAATCTCTTTTGACATGTTCCCAGCAAATCTGTATATTATTTCCGAAGATGGTTTGAACTGCTACCACCAATACTTCACTTTTGATTCTTTTCTATTTATCTCTGTTGTTTTCACAAACATTTTATTGCTTAACTCAGTTTAGTTGCTTTTAGATTTAAGATCCCAAATATTACATTTCTACTGTGCTACCATCTCCAACAATTCTTTCATTGCTTTACCCTAGAAGGCAAAAATATGGAAAAAAAGTTTGAAAAGGACAGCACAATTCAGACATCTACTTTCCAGGGTGGGAATCCTAGAACACTTTCCAGAGCCAGGTTTACCCTGTTTAGCTTCAGCATTGCCCAAATGTAGAACTGTGAATTCCTACGCCATTTGTCTTATCCAGATGCACATATTAAGTACATAATACAATAAAAACAGATATAAATGGTCTATCTTGAATTGGCTTTGCTGATGTTTTCTGCTTTAATGGTCAATTAAACTATACGTAGGGTTAAAGGTTTACGTAAAAAAAGTTCTTATATATTTATGTATTATTCCTACGTTTATATCCATATTTAGGTAAATCATTAACACTTGATCTGAAAGCAGTGCTTCTCAAACCTTAATGTGCATACAAATCATGCGGGGATCCTGTTAAAATGCAGACCTAAGTCAGTAGGTCTGAAATTGGCAGAAATTCCACATTTCTAACAAGCTCCCAGCAATGCCAGATGCTGCTAGTCTGAGGACCACACTTTGAGTAGGGAGGCCTAGAAAATGAACATAAAGGCTGTTAGTAATGACTCCTGCCCTAGCAGAACACCCAGAGCAATTCATCTGTATGCCTCTAGATGGCATGAAACACTTGCTTCACCCTGTGTTTGTTATTTATGTGCTTCTTTCATCTTTCTTTCCTAGGCATTCAGCTACTGTTAGCTCCCTGAGATCAGATTCCACACTAATTCATCTTCACGTTCTCCCTTCACCTACCCACATTGTGGGTCTTTGAATGAGTGAATGAAATTACTTATTTTACACAGCTTTATAGCTATGCTGACCTCCCACAGCCCCTTAAAAAAAAAAAAAAACACCAAAAAGAAAAAAACATATTATTATCGAACTGGGCTATTCTCTTCTGCTTTAAAGACCAAATTGGATTTTTTTAAAATTCTCTGTAGTTACTCCTGAGTACAGTAGATTATTCATTCTCAAGAGCTCAAGAGAAGCATCCATTCTCCTCAAACCCAGAGACTGTAGTCATAAAACATGAAAATACAATCTCCTTGCTAAAACTCCCCTTTGTTAAACTACCCAAAATATCACCAGATAACTAACAAAACAAAATTAAGTTTGTTCAGAATCACTGTAGGAAGGGAGAACGCCATCTTGACGGAATCTAAGCCACATATCAGAAGGGAAAGTCTGAAGTAGAATATCTGTTGGGCTTTGGGGTCTGAACCTTCAAGGTGGGAAACTGATTGAGACTGAGCAAAGTTCGTGACATAATAGGTCAGGACTGATAGACACAGCGAGGTGAGGATCGTGAAGCAAGACTTGATTAATAAAGCTTATTGGATTAAGCTAGTTTGTTCAAATGAGCAGACTGTTGTTCCAATGAATTGCTCTTTAGGAATTTCCTGACGAAAACAGTGAAGTAAGTTATTGGCTTAGTCTAATTTTTCCCATGCGGAGTTATTCTGGAACAAACTACTAAGTCATGTTGAAAGAGGTGGTCTATACTTTATCTGAGATAGATGGTCTCAGTTCTCACCTCCCACTGGTCTCTTCACCTGCCCTAAGATGTTATTATGTTAGTAAGCCCGACTCATGGCGGCACATTGCAAATACTGGTCGTGTGGATGCTAAAGCCTCACCTTCCAGGAGATTTTCCCCTCATAGACAATGTTCAGATAGAATCCATGATATAGAGATCTTCTTTCTCAGAGACAAATGCTGGCTGTTTGACACAGGATAAGACTCAAAAAAGTCTAATGTTTGACTCTACTGGGTTCTGAATCCCACTTGTTGATAAAGTTTTTATTCTATCTCCCACTCCCAAATTCTTTTACACTTAATACAAAAACATTGGGTAAGCCACTTACCTGTTAATGATATCAGGATAAATATATACAGAAACATTTATGATGAAGTCTGAATATAAAATTTTCTTTGGGGACTCAGAGGAGAGATAAATTAATTCTGAATGGGTCCAATAATGGAATGTTTCTGGATGTATTTAAAATTTGAGCTAGGCCTTGGCTTGTGAAAGGAAAAATTGATGCACACAATAAAATGACGGTTGGTGGATTAGTTGGTGCCATAAAAACATTAGATGAGCACTTTGGGTAAAAAATAGATCATTAAACCAGTTGATAACTCAATTTTTCCCTTTCCAGTGTGTTGTTTTGACATTTACAAGGCACAATCATGTATAATTTATAGCTATTGGTTCAGGATACACTAAGATATATGGCTATATTTACCAAATACAGAAAACCTATAAGGATAATTTCCTATTGTGATACTCGGAAGAAAGATTTGGAGTGCTGATTACATTTTAAAATCTAAAAAAAAGAAGTTATTTTATCATATCTTTTTCAGGTTTATTCTGTTCTCTTTCAAATCAAAGGCTAAGTTGTCTCCACATTGAATTCCAGTATGTAGCGTGTATATAATTGGGCAAAATCAGTGCTATGGTTTTAACATTTTTGCTAAGATTTACATTTTCTTTGCATTTTTTGTTCAGAAGCAAAACAGCAAGCACTAATAAGTGAAGAGTTAGAAGCATTTCCTGAGGAGGCATATGGTCCAAATTTTCTGTTCTTATGCCCACAAAATTCCCTCCATTTTCAGTGCTGTTAACACATGCAAAGGAGGAGAATCAGACCAATTGTATTTTGCTATTTTCCCTTGATTTTAATTTACAATGAGAATAAAATTAACAGGCCAGTTGTCTACTTGTAAGTTCTGGGGAGAAAATGATCAGACGGGTATTTTGTAAGCCAGATGGGTCGTAGATGCAAGTGAACTTTTAAGTTTGGTTTGTTTCTTAAATACCAAAGGCCCTGAACTGTAGATGGCAAGCGAATCTAGCATTTAGCGGCATTTAAAAATACAATGAATAAGATATACAATACCTGATGAGAGAATCAAGGTAAAATAAAGGTAAATTTTTAAACACGTAAGACATTATCCTGGAATGCTATAGCTCTGAAAGAAATGTGCTATATAAATCTATTTTTTAAAGAATAAATAAAATTTTCCCAAGGACTAAGCAAAGCCTAATAAAAAAGCAAAGACAATTAGTGATTAAAAATAGATTCTCAGTGTGTTTTACATTTTGAAATCAATAAAGGTTAGTAAAAATTCAGTCCATCCCATTCACTTGTTTTTCCGTTAGCTTTTATCAAATGAGCAGGAAGCCACGGTCTTTATCAAAATTATTAGTGAGACGTAGAAAGTAAGCATCGGCCTGGAAAGAATCTTCGTGCTCCCTCTCCTGTCCTCTTGTTTAAAGCAGGGCCATAATTCTGTGTGTTGATAGTATTGAAATTTTCTCAAATGCTTTTGCAATCCTGGACTATTTGAGGACTGTCTTTTCCAATTTCTATCTATCCTACAGACTTGAATCCCAAATGACTACTGATATCCAGACCATCTTACAGCTGCTGCAGAAACAAACCACTGTGGTCCCCCCAGCCTACAGTATGGTAACTGCAGGAGCCGAGTATCAGAGACCTGTCATCCGCCTGATGAGAGCCAGTCATCCTGGAGCATCCATTAAAACGGATAGAAGTTTCAGCCCTTCCTCGCAAGTGAGTATAGATTTTGTTCAACCATTCCAACCAAGGGTTTCTCTCAAAGTGTGGTCCAAGGACCACTTGAATCAGAATCACCTGGATGCTTGTGGAAAATAGATTTTCATCCCCCTCTGGTGGCACAGTGGTTAAGATCTCGGCTGCTAACCAGGTCAGTAGTTAAAATCTACCAGCTTCTCCTTGGAAACCCTACAGGGCAGTTCTAGTCTGTCCTATAGGGTCGCTATGAATCAGGATGGCAATGGGTTTGCCCTGTAATCTTCATTTTAAACAAGCTCCTCACTGATTGTTATCCTCATTTAAAGCTTGAGAACAGTGGACACAGAAGAATGATTTAAAACACTAGCTTTTTTTTTCCAAGAAAAACTCTTTTCAAAAATCAACCTACTTAAGTTTATATACAGTAGAGCTTAGAAAGCTAAGGAATTGTCCTGGATCCAAAAGTGCTTCAGAGAAAAGTCTCTAATTTTTTATAGTGACAAGAGACTGGGTAGGGGCTCAGGAACCAAAGGGAGGAGAAATAGCAGTTGTCTAGAGAAGACCTGAGGTTCAAATGCAATCGAACTAGTAATCGCCTCTCTGTCCCACCCATCACCAGGGTTCTCTAACCTTATTTCACCTGGGTGATGAAAATGGTAAGAGGAGGAATGTCAAGTCCTTTATCATGCCTCTGAAGCCCTTTTAAGGGCCCTATTGAATTATATTAATGTAAGTCTAAATCCCTTGGAATTCTATCTTGGGAATTAGTCTTAGTTCCTTAAACATTATAGTAAAATTGGATCTAAGAACACAAATTTACGGAACAATCTTGTAAAATTGTTTAGATACTTGGAAATTTAGTTCAAACAGTCCAGGAATTAAACTGCGTTAATAGAAGGAAGTAATGTACAAGTAGGAAGATAACGCAATCTTTCTAAAGCATGAAAATAGAAAATAATTTACCTCTAACTAGTTTTATGGCTGAGAAGCATGCAAAACCATATACTTCATTCTGTATTTTTGGTGGATTTAGATAATTTATTTGGGTTGGGTGATTTTACTTCTTTTCTTTTTTCTTTTCTCCCCTTAGCTCCCTAGTTACCAAGTAAGAGTCCTGGGTGGTGTAAACAGTTAACATACTCAGCCGCTACCTGAAAAGTTGGTGGTTTGAGTCCACCCAGAGGTGCCTTCTGGCAATCTACTTCCTACAAATCAGTCATTGAAAACATGGAGCACAATTCTATACATATGGGGTTGCCATAAAGATTTAAAATGTTATCTAGAAAACTCAATGTGAAATCATGTAAAACAACAACAAAGAATCTAATCTGACTTCAGGGTAAAAATGAAGTTCTTGGAAGGTGGTTGTTTAGCATTATCTAAGTTGATACCCTACCTCCAGTTTCTTGACCCATCTTTGGGAGAGCAATATTGGTTAATGCCACTAATCAAATATAGATCAATGGTGAAAGAAAGCTCATTTAGATTTCATGAGGGTGATTTTAGATGACTGCCAAAGTGAATTATACATATGTGTTTTCCTTTCTTTCTATCAGTGTCCTGAATTTCTAGACCTTGAAAAATCTAAACTTAAATCCAAAGAATCCCTCTCAAGTGGGGTGCATCTGAACACAGCTTCGGAAGACAACTTGACTTCACTTTTAAAACAAGACAGTGATCTCTCTTTAGAGCTTCATCCGAGGCAGAGAAAAACTTACCTTCATCCAATTAGGCATCCTTCTTTGCCTGAATCATCCCTAAGCACTATAGGAATCTTGGGTCTTCATAGGCATGTTTCTGATCCTGGTCTTCCAGGGAAATAATCATTTTGTACTATTTACTCCACATACAATGTAAGTGCTTTTAATGGCTGTTTTCCTTTTTGTATTTAAATCCTCTCTACTTGACTCAGGGGCTCACAAGTTACCATTATATGCAAAAGTACTGTATATTTTCCTAAATTGAAGCTTGTAAGGTAAAATTGAGCAGTTAGAATGTAAATATACAAAAGAACTTTTTGTCCCAAATGTTAAAACTGCCAGCATCTCAAGGCACCTTATTTTTTATTTTTATTTTTTAAACCATGTGCATGTTAGGAAACTCCAATTTCTCTTGCATGGAGACTCCATATTACTGCTTTTACTAAACAAGTACTTTGTTATGAAAATGCCTTCCAAGCAAATAAGAAACTAAGGTATAAAACCACTCATGGGTGCAATTCAGATGATCCTCAACTCACGCAAGATCCTCAACTCTCAAATCACTTTTGAAAACAAATACCCTTCTCTATCAAGATGTATATAGTTATTTACGTTCATTCCACCACACAGAAAAAAAAAAAAGCAAAGTTTGAGTTATAAATCTCTGACAGCATAGGATTTATCTCCAAATACATGAATATAGGCCAGCATTAATGAGGACAAAAGGCCCTTCTATTTAAAATTCTGTCACTAACTGTATTCATAAACAACCTAAAATATTTTCCACTGGCATATTTCCTTGAATGCTTAGAAACAAGTTTTTCTCATTTTGCTTTTGGGGGTAGGGGGAGAGAAAGGAGGGCTCTTCTCAAAAACTGCTAAAATGTGGCTGACACAAACTGATACCCACGGCATTCTTCTGATTCATGTTTTAGGGCAATACTGAATTTTATTCAAATAGTGGAAGCACATTTTTTCCCCAAAAAATGTACAGTTTTAGTGGAATTGAATGGTAAAGCTAGCTTCCATTGAGTATATGTTGGTCTATGGTTTTCTAATCCCAGCTATGGAAAAACAGTGTGTATTGACCTGCCTGGGAAGGAAATGCACTCACCAGCAGTAAGATTTCAGAGTGTTTTTGGGTTAGTCAAACACTTGCTAATCAACGATTAAGTCACCATCTATTATACGTGGGTTGAACTAAATGTATATTGACTCCAGAATATCATAACATACAGTGGAATATATTTTAATATGTATCTTTAACTATTAGAGTTTGGCATATGCCTCTCTCACACAAAAGCAGGATACAGGAAAAAATACAAGTTAAAGATTCTAATTAGCCAAATCCCAGTTAAGCAATTTTATTTTTCAGCTAGCTTAAGCACAATTTCAAAATTATATAGACTGGTCCATTATATCTTTTCCTTCTAAACAACAATTTTAAAATCGGTTGAAAGTTCCTTAGTCTTTGCTACTTCTTAAATTCACATATTTTTAAAGAAACATTATATCTGTGCAAATTATTAAATGGGTTAATCTCTATCCCTCCAAGATAGAAATACAATCTTACTGACTTTTAACTTTGACACTAATTTATTAGCTAGCTTCAAATACATGCAACGTATTTAAATTTACAAAACGATTACACTATTTAAATTACAATCAAAGTGATTTTAAATTTCTCCCTGTATTTTTAAATGGTCACATAGATTGATAATCTGTGTGGGAGGCAATCTGCAGGCATGAGTATGTTCTTATCCCTGCTTAATATTTGAAAAACCAAAGCATAAGTGATAAAGTACATACAACAAAATGACTAGTTAAGTCAGTGAAAGTATAATAATAAATAACCAGCCACACAAACCAGTTGGTGTTATACAAACTTAAGGATTGCTTTTATTTCCTCATTTAACAAACATTCAGTGGGTGCCTAGCACTGTGTTAGACGCTAGATCTAGCAGGGGAGAGGGAGTTACATAAATGGCTAACTTTGATTCAGAGAGCTATTTAGGGATTTTATTCCCATATTTGGACACATTTTTGCAGCTGCAACAAATTTCATAAGGATTCAGGCAGATTCAGATTGAATTCACCAGAGACCGTTCATTTATAGAGAGAAGAGGATTTGGCAGGTGAGGAATTTAGATCTGATTGTTTGATTAGTGAATGCTTCAGCTGCAACATTTGGTATGACATGCATAAAATTCGGCCTTCCACATAAAGCCTCTATTTATACTTCTTTATAAAAAGTGAGCATGAAGGAATGGAGGATGAGAAATGGTGTGCAAGCATCCAGCTTGTTTAAATTCTAGCATGAGACAAACCTTTTTTCTTCTTAATTCCTTGACAAAATAATTGCTTGATATTAAAAACTTAAGTCTCATAGAGTTGGGCAGGATTAGAAAGGTGCCCTCCTACTGGGTATTAGCTTAAAAAGAGTCTGAGCAATATAATGATGTTGTGTGCCATCAAGTCGATTCTGGCTCATAGTGACTCTGTATAACAGAGGAGAACCGCCCCATAAAGTTTCCCAGGCTGTAATCTTTATGGGAGTAGATAGCCATTTCTTTACTCTCATGGAGCGGCTGATGGGTTTAAACCACTGACTTTTCAGTTAGCAGCTTAATGCTTAACCATTATGCACCAGGGCTCCTTAAAAATGTGGTTTAAAAAAAAAAAAACCATTGTCCGTGGAGTCGAGTCGGGCATAAACATCAGAAGACTCAATGGTTAAATTGGCTTCTAGATGGCAAAGCAATTATCTTAATGTACAAAATGCATCCCTTTGCCCCAACCAGAGATCTAATATTTACAGGCAGACAGTCACCTTCCCCACTAGGGTGTGGCAAAAACAGCCTGGCACCTCCATCTTGGGATCCCGCTGAGGACCAGCTCTAATTGCTGCAGCCAATCATAATAGCAGTACAACAACTGCTTTCCTTCTAGGTCATTAGAAGCATTAATGCCTTTTGCTTTCCTCCTAAAAATAAAGTGTTACCTGGCTCCCTGGCCTAAACTAAATACCATCTAAAAATCTGAATTTTCTTTGGATTATATGTTTTCCTGCTGTCATTAATTGCTAGGTGGAGGGCTGAAACTTACACATCTCATTTTATCGCACAAGGGAGTCTTAGACCTTAATTAGCTGATGAGACAACTAGGAAGAAAAAATGTTGAATGAATGTTCTTGCAGGGTTTGTAAGTTAACAATCGCTCATTCACCAAACATGGGAAGGCAGGGGCAGATTTGGGATGGCATAATTTCTTAAACTTGTTATAATGAGTTGGTCATCAGAGTTGAACTTTCCAACTCTTCTAGTCAGGAGACATGGAAACTAAGTCAGGGCATAGCAGCATTTGGGCTGAGGTTTAATACATGTGTATAAACAAGGATTGTTACAAGGTATTTTGGGGGGTTGAGCTTTGGCAATGGTTCCAAAATACCTAACACTTATCCAAAAGTCATTTTAAAAACCTATGCTATATTATCTAAGGTTAAAATGTGTCACCTCATCAGCATATCTAAAGTATTATTATTAATTAACAACAGTATCTTTCCTCTAGATGCCTTTAATGGTTTCTTTAAAAAGGAATTCAGTTGGATGTACAGTTATTAAAAATGAATTGCAGCATTATTATGATTTAATATAGCAGTCTAGCCCTGGTTAAAACCCACAGTAGATTAATATGTTCAAGCAGATTTCTTATTACAATTTATAATCTTTATAAATTACAAAGAAATTCAAATGTTACTAGGTTTCTAATCATATTTTTGCAGTAAAACAAATGTGTCTATCATGTGAATACAAAGAGACACTTACTCATGCCTTGGAAGACAGCATGATGTGGAACAGGGTTCCTCAAAGTGTGGTCTCTGAACTAGTAGCATCAGTATCACCTGGGAACTTGTTAGAAATGCACATTCTTGGGCCTACCCTAGACCTACTAAATCAGAAACTCCGGGGGTGGGGCTCAGCAACTGTCTTTAAACAAGCACTGTCCACACGATTCTGATGCACACCAAAAATTTGTGAACCATCAATGCAGAAGAGCGAGCATAGGCTCTGCCATCAGACTGACTTGGGTCCAGACCTGAGTTCTTTCATTAATATCTGCGTGATCCTGAGCAAGTTAATTAAACTCCCTGAGTCTTTTTCCTGGATTTGTAAAAATGAAAACGGTGCCTGCCTCACAGAAGCCTGAGGAGAAAATGAGATAACATAAAGTGCCTGGCACGTAGTAGGTGCTCAAAAAATACTAGATTCTGTTTCTCATCCAGGAACGTGACACACAAAAACAATGAAGAAAACAAATAATTTTTCACAGTTTAGCTTTTGCGCAATATGCTGTATCTCCAATGAAACAGCTGTTACTAAAACTAAAGATTTTGATTCAGAAAAATCTAGTGTAGCTATTGTTTTGTCTCTCTTAATTGTATTTTGCACTATTAGGTTTATAGCTTTAAATAATACTATATATAATAATAGTGGGAATAATGAATCTCATTGTTACAAACATATCTGCTCTGAATCGATGTTAAACACATGCAAGCTGATCTGTCAAATTCAGTACTTTGAGAATGTATTCTGTAAAGGCTGGCTTGCAGTGGAAGCCCCTCTTTAGATTCATGATGTAGTCGCCAAGTGGGTATTTGAAAATACATTTCCAAAATATGATTTTTACAGTAAATACTTCTATTATTTACAGAAAATAGAATTTTCCAGTTTTAATAGCTCTTTGCAGGTGCCTGAGCCCACTCCTCTACATTACACAGATCTTACTTAGACTGCCTTAGTGTGGTATAGCTATAGGGACTCAGTGTGATGAACCTGAATTCAAGTCTCATCTTCTCCACTTACTCCCGAGATTTAAAACCTTAGTGCACCCCAGTATGCTAAACTATAAAAATGGAGGTAATATCTTACATACCTTGAAGGGGTATGTTGAGGATCCTCTGAAGTATATGTGAAGCGCTTTGTAAACCATAAAGCTTCATAAGATTGTAAAATCATCCTGTGACTTGTGCATCATCACAAAGATAGTGGTGTTATGGTGGTATTGCTGCACTATTTGGGCCTTCTGAAAAACATGCTCTTTACCCAACATTGACCCCATTTAAACTCTGTTACAAAAATCTACAAAGTGATTCTCACACACTTCTCAAAGATCCAGTTGCCAGAAGAACACCAGGAGCAGCCGGAGAATGCCAGTGTTAGCGAAGCTTTCTCTGCTATGACACCCTGATATTTGTCAAATATTGCCTTAGTTCAACAGCATAAAATTATACATTTGCATTGCAATTGTTTTCTAGGTGCGCAATAACGTACCCTCTCATCCTTTCCTCAAGTGTTCTCATTCAAAGCTATTATTAATGAAGTGGTGTTAGTCCTCTAAAAACTAAAAGGATCTTGTTTTTAAATGCTTTATAAAGTCTTAGTCATTGTTATTGATCAGTACCCAAGCCTAGAATAATTTTATCACGTGCCCTTGTAGAGCATACATACTTTGCTTTAAGAAAATCCAATGTGGAAAAGAAAATTCACAGAAATATATGAATTATTAATAACTGACAACATGAAAAGAAATCACAGGGCTTATTTACATAAACTATTAAGTGGAGGCTGAGAGACCTGATTAACACAAAATTATTTAAAACTAACGAGTTATTACTATGAACAGAAGAATAAAACATTATAAGAATGTAATGTTAAGAACACAGAACCATACAATCAACTGACCAATTTCATTGTTATACTAATCATAATCAAATTCTTAAATGAGAATACCAAGAATTGTTAAAGAACTCCCAATCATTTGTTTCATTATGAAAAGTGGCAATATTTACATGGTTATTCATGAAAAGCTAATATCAAAAATTAGATGAATCCCTAAATTGTAGTCACGACATCTGTGACTTCTATTAGTTTATATTTGGAGAGATGTGACATAATTTCGTATAGCAGATTTTAAAGCATTTTACCTTTAACCTATATTCTTTGTACTTCCTCTGTGTGAATATACTTACTTTCATGTAAAAAAGTCATCGGGGCTATCATTTCAGTTTGCTTTTTAACTCCGTATTATTTTAATGTTGCTGTTTTAAATGAAAACAATCACAATTGTTAGCATTTAAACTCTTTTTTTTTTTAATTTGGAGCCCTGGTGGTGCAGTGGTTAAGCGCTTGGCTGCTAACCAAAAGGTTGGCAGTTTGAATCCACCAGCTGCTGTTTGGAAACCCTGTAGGGCAGTTCTACTCTGTCCTATAGGGTCACTATGTGTCAGAATCAACAAGATGGCAGAACAAAAAAATTTTTTAACTACTTCAGTGATTGAGTATATAAGAAAATTCTAAACCATTTCCATCAACCTTCTCTTTATTTAGGATTAAAATTCAAGGATCTGTAATCTTATAATCAACTTATCCACAGAGCCTCATCAAAATGTTCCTATAATTACAATAGCATTAAAATAATATGGCACCCCTCTTCCAAACATTAAAGAAATAAAAGTATTGGGGAATCCCTAGGTTTTTGTTTGTTTTTGTTTTTATCTCCTAGGCACCGACTGATCTTAATACAAGGCACAATACTCTTTTTTAGCTGAAATTGGCATTTTATAATTTTGATGGAAAGATCTATTGTATCAGAATGACTACCAGTTAAATAATAATATATTTCAAAAAACAATGTGTGTCCATCACTTGAAAATGCTAGTCATCTGATATAAATAAGAAACTCACGTTGGTTAAGTAGTATCTTGGAATGCTTTAATGAAAAAATCTACCAAAACACATACTACTTCCTAGTTGTCTTAGTCATCTAGTGCTGCCATAACAGAAATACCACAGGTGGATGGTATTAACGAAGAGAAGTTTATTTCCTCACAGTCAAAAGTAGGCTAAAAGTCCAAATTCAGGGCGTCCGCTCCAGGGGAAGGCTTTCTCTGTTGGCCTTCTCATCAGTGTTCCCCTGGACTAGGAGCTTCTCAGCGCAGGGACCCCTGTTCAAAGGACACGCTCTGCCCCTGGCACTGTTTTCTTGATGGTATGAGGTCCCCCTGTCTCACTGCTCACTTCTGTCTTTTGTATCTCAAGAGATTGCCTCAGGACACAATCCAGTCTTGTAGATCAGGTCCTGCCTTACTAACACAACTGCCACCCATCCTCCCTCATTAACATCATAGAGGCAGGTGTACAACATACAGGAAAATCACACAGTACCAGGAATCATGGCCTAGCCAAATTGATACACACATTTTTGGGGGGACATAATTCAAACCATGACACTAGTCTTTATTCACATAATGTAGCATGAAATCATGATGCTTTTGAAACTCTGTGCAGAAATATTTATTTTTTAGCAATTATTTTCTTCAAAGATGGGTATGTGGTCATTGACAGTGTAATCTACTTGCACAACTAGTTTTGCAATAATGTTCTACAAATAACTGTAAATAAAAAAATGTAAATTTCATGTAAAAATGGTTGCAATTTTTGGTAGCTAAAAGAAGTGTACAAGTTGTATTGAAAATATAGAATATATACATAATTAAGAATGAAGTATATAATTTCTGATCTATTTATACATGAAAATTCAACAATTTATAAAAGAAATTATTTTGGGAACAAAGAAAGTAAATCTCATTAGCTAGTTAGGATACTTTTATTAGAGAAGCCAACTATTTCCAACATTTTACTAGGTACAGTACTAAATATAGGCATGGTGGTGCTGATGTATTTAATGAAATCACATAATTGTAACAGTGCTTCGGTTTTATTGAGTTCCATCAGGACACTAGCAAGCCAGACTGAGTGGTAAAAAGCACTGAATTGAAAATTAAGGAAGCATAAAATCATTTCACTCTTTATTGTTGCCTGTCAAGAACACAATAGCAATTTACTAAAACATTTCCTGTTCGGTTACTTTGAATTTCTGATGGCTAAACAGGCTTTAACCTACATATGAAACAACTTTCTTATATATTTGATTCATTTTTTCCTTTTACCAAGAATGAAAATGTCTAGATAATATTAAATGATTTTCATTTGCCCAAGTTTCATACATTTTTCATTCATTCCCTAGAACTGTTCATCTTTAAAAAAAATCAAATTATCTTGAAAGAAAAGTTTTTAATAAAACTTAGTGGTCGTAATGTGGCATGTTCTAAAATAAAGACAGTTCAGTCAGCTTAGGGTTTTTGATTCCCTATCCTTCATTTTTAATGAAAAAAATATACTAAAACACCAAGAGAATATTTTCCTATATGATAAATGAAAAACCAAACCAAACACAAGATTAGAAGAAAGAATTGTATCATTGTCTAAAGCAAGGCTGATTACAAAATGAGAACCTAAGTATGAAAAGGCTAAAAATTGAAATAACTTTTAAGTCTCTTGCTATAGGATAAATTGGGGCGGAGGGGGTTCGGTAGCTATGGGAAATTAAATATGCATCCAAGAGTTCAATTTAGCCAAAGATCATTTTAAACTGGCTTATAATTTTCAAAAAGGAGCACTGGTGGTTAAAATCACTTGGCTGCTAACGAAAAGATCGGCTGTTGACACCCAACATCTGCTCCATGGGAGAAAGATGAGGCAGTCAACTTCCATAAAGGTTTTCAGCCTTGGAAGATCCACAGGGCAGTTCTGCTCTGTCCAGAGGGTCACTGAGTCGGAATCCACTCGATGCCAGTGAGTTTTAATTTTTAAAAGAAAATGGATCTTTAATTAGTATGTTTCTGGAACATGCATACTTGCACTGTTCGTATTATCCTTTGAACTTTCAGTAATCATAACAAGAAAAATGTGATCAATAATATAATCAACTGACATGTAAATGACTGAATGCATGTATATTTAAAGCACATATTTAAGCCTAAGGGAAAAGCCTGCCCCTCCTCCAGAAAAATATATCAGAAGAGGGAACTGATCATTCCTCGCATATGTTGTCTCTGAATATAGCCATTAAATGATGGCCTCAGCCAATTCTTCTAACTCCCTATAAGCTTTCCAAATTGCCACCATCTTTGATGTTACAGAAAACGTAAGTAGCACATAGGCAAGGACCCTACTCATTCTCTAACTGGACACCATACCATAGTAACCTAGAAGTGTTGCCAATGTGTACTTAACATGTAACATATATACATACATATAGAAGCACACCCGAGTTTTAAATGCTCGCAAAATAATATACAAAGCTGCACATTACCAAGCTACCTGGATAAATGTTCAGTAATATAAGGCTCTTTACTTCTTATGCCACCAAAATATTTTTAAAAACAAGTAGGAAAAAAATGGAAGAACAAGATTAAAAGCACAGATTTCCCAGCATTCAAATAACAAACTGATACAAAGTACAACAGAAATTTTTCAAACTTTTTTTCCCAATGTTTTGCTGGAAGCAGTTTTGTGCTCAATGTTCTAAATCACAGAAAAATTTTAATTTAACATATAGACATATGTGATGGTATGATCTTATTCTAGACTAAAAATCATCTGAACAGTATTTAATATTCTGTCTGTACTCATCACTCTAACAGAGAAGTTCTAAATATTTTTTTCTTTGTATCATCTAATATTATTTAGGAACTCAAGACATACTCTTAGGTGATATTTTAGCATTGTACATTTATTTGAAAGTGCTTATTAATTCACTAGTTAAGTGACTGAATTCAGACAATAAAGTTTTTGATCTTTTAATACAAATTTTAAATTAATAAAACACCCATGGTTACATTTTAACAGAAAAGAAAAATATGCTAACCTGAAAGAAGTCTTAGATTTTACTCACTAAATTTATCAGATTTTGACAAATTTTTTCCTGTTTATCAGAAAACTGCTATAAAGAAATAAAAACATATCATTTATAAGTTTGTTAAAGATAAAAAGACAAAGAAAAGCACATTTCTGACAAAGAGTATTTATTATGTTTGTTCAGTTTAGGAATACCATACAGATTACAGTAAACTTAATATATTTTACTTAAATAATCACAAACTGATATTTTGTTATTGTTTTAATTGCAGACTTTAAAATACATTAATAAATTCTACTTTCTTCCAGGGTAAATGCCTTTTCTGAAAATAAACATATAAATTGACTATATTTTTTTGTTACTTTTTTGCTGAATACAGGTTTAAATAGATTAAATGACATTTAAAGCGAACCAAATTAAGATTGCCCATAGTATTGATTTCTCCTTGTTGTAATTTAAAATGTGTAAACTGCCACTCGAAACAGAAGTGCAATACCTGACATTTAATCATCTGGCAGTTTTTTAGACTTAGGTGAATCACTGCACTGTTATTTGAACTGAAGCATCTCATAATATCTATGTAATAGATTTTGTGTAATACAAAACTTTACAGCAAGCTATTTGAATGTTTATTAAAGACTTCTCAAAACGACATGGAAACTTGTTTACTGTATAAATAAAAGCGCTTATACATTAAGAGTGTACATTATTCCATACTTTACAATATCATAAGAAAGCTGGAGCTCGGGTTAACCAATACAAGCTACCACACTATATTCGTATTCCAGTCATGTTTGTCACAAAACTATTTAATTTTTACTTTAGTAATGGATGTCTTTGTTTCCATTATTTTAAATACACCAAGAGAATGAATTGCATTTTAGTATAAAAATATTGATAAAATTACTCTCTATGCCTAATGTTTTTATAAGATTGTCTGTTTAATGTGAAGTGCAAAAGAGTTACCTATTAAGATGGATCAGCATGGAACATTAGTTCTACTAGAGAAAGGGGTTCTGTGGTCAAAAAATGTTTGGAAAAAAATGGGTCAAATGAAGTTAAACCTAATTTTATTTACCTTAGGCTTTCGTATGCTGATGTACATAATCAAGCTCCATGAGGAAAGTGAGTTTCCCAAACATGTTTGGCCATGGAAACTCCTCCTTCACAGACCTCCTATGACCAAAGTTCGTAGGAACGTCCTTTGGAAAACCATAAGTGAGAGACTTGTGTAAACAATGCTAACACAAAGTGTCATTTGGCAGAAACGCATATTAGTATCATATGTCATTTTTAAAGTGTGCCTTCAACTATGAGCTTCCAAGTAAGATATCATATTCAACCTGAGAACAGTATAGTAACTCCACTATCTTTAACATGGATATTAGAATTACAGGTTGAAAAATCACATTATTACCCTTTATCAACATGAAGGACATACAGTGTGGTTAACATCTGCTTTTTCCTACAAAATTTCCAATTAAAATTCAGCATTTTTTATGGCTCAGTTAATGTCCTCTCACATTATCAAATACACGTTCATGAAAAAAAAATTAAGAGTCAAAGTAAAAAGTTATTCACATATTCTTATAAAACTGACCAAGTGAATTTTACAGCCAATTATATAAAATTTCGATGTCAAAACGGCTATACCTTACTTCTTTGCAGGATTTATAAAAGTCAAAGTTGGCTTAAAATTCTGTAAGTATTATGAAAGTCCCCCCTCAATATCCTGCCATCCATCCTCCATCCTTTATGAAACAGTTCTATAAAAGCTATATATTAATTTGACCAACAGCCATACTAATATCATTTCAATTTGTATTCACCTTTAGGTTAGAAGATATTCAGTTAAAGCATAAGTAAAATATGTGGCTTACTAATATTTCATTAAGAAAGACAATGTTTGCCAAGAAAGCAACTGAATTAATTAAGAGAGTATCTGAACTCTACTTCCCAGAGTACTTAGTAATAGCATTCAGTAATGTTGCTGCAATGCCTACCATGGAGTCCCTGAATGGCACAATGGTTAAGTGCCTGACTACTAGCTGCAAGGTTGTCTGTTTGAACCCATCCAGAGGCACCCTGGAAGACAGGCCTGGCAATCTGCTATGGAGCAGTTCTACTCTGCACACGTAGGGTCGCCATGAGCTGGAATCAACCGATGACAACTAACAACAACAATGCCTACCACGCTCAGTACCCCACCTTACACAAATGCACTCAAAATACTTATTGATTTACCAATCACCAAAAACCACCGGCTACTGTCTTCATATAAGTCAAACTTATTATTTTTGACCATTTAAACAAAGTGGTAGATGGATTACTTCACTTTGTAAACAGTTGGCATTATGACATATAAACAACAATTTAACAGAACAAATTTAAATCTTGACGTTTCATTAAAAATATGCTTTCCAGAAAATGTATATTTAGAGAAAGATGCCATTTTAGGTTATCTATATTGAAAAACTCTGCGTTAATTATTCAAGAACTTTTTTTGTCACAGAAGACAACAAATGTATTGAAGAAAAATGTATGCTGCAAAAAATAAAAAGGGAAAAACAATGCCTCCTGCAGTCTTATTCCACTATAGATTAATTTATGGTTCACCTAAGGCTAATTAGTATAAATTTTTAGGAAATACGATTTTCTTCTTCACAAAGCAAAAACCCATGCAGTTCTATTCTTTGGTTATGTGATGAAGGAACAAACCCTTGTACAAACATGGCATAAAATGCAGGTTTCCCCTTCTAGCTGGCCCCTAAACACCAACAACTATAAACAAAATTTGGAAGTATAACATGTACACTTCAGATAAGTATAAATTAGTTTTATCCAGGCTTTCATCGCTTAGCTTCTTACACAATCTATCTTCTAAGTACATTCCCCTAAGCTTATACTGTTAAAAGTTAAAGCTAAGAAGTATTTACATCAATTAATTACAGAGCAATATTTGATGACATTATGCAGATATACGTAAAGTGATACTTTTCCAAAAGCAACAATATCCCAAATACAAAGACATCTTTTTTATTGCTTGAACTGTGCACTAAGGTAAAAACACACAGAGAGAGAAGAGATTTAACACGAAGAAACATGGAAAAGACCAAAAGCTTTAATTCAAAGTAGTCTAGTTCAGTTCTTCCACACAGAAGAATTCACAGTATTTCCTTAGCTTTCAAATTCCACACATTCAAATTGCCATAGTGCCCTGCAAAAACTAAAACAAGCAAAATCATCAGCTAGCAACAATACAGTGGTTTTTCACTCTGTTTGATTAATTATATTCCATGGAAGCATTTTCATAACAGGGGAAACTTTCAGAAGTTTCCAAGACTTGTAATTCAAACTAGTATACACTAGTAAAGTAATGTTAAGCCTATAATTTCCATCAGTAAATGTAACAAAAACAAAACGACGACAACAAACCGGGAACATTAAAACAAATATGAAATGTAACTTTCCTTTAACTTTAATTTTTTTAAAAAACTAGAATTGGATTCAGGTTGATAGCAACCATTAGAAATAAGAAATACACAGCTTCATTGTGTTATAAATTAAAATTTCCTGTCTCCCTTAAAAGAAGTATCATCTCAAGTAAACTACTCTTTATAAAAGGAATGGTAGTCTTTGCCATTAAAAATGATTTAGGGGATGAACTGCCAAAAACTTAACTGTCAGAAAATTGAAAACTATTTTAATATTTAACATACAATGATTAGTATTTGTACCTATAATGAATCTTATATGTGGGCTCAGCTGAAAAAAACACAGAGAAATAACAGGGTCTTTACAATATATTACTCCCAGTATAGGTACTACTGGTGGTGCGGTGGTTAAGAGCTTGGCTGCTAACCAAAAAGTCAACAGTTTGAATCTACAGCTGCTCCTTGGACACCCTATGGGGCAGTTCTACTCTGTCCCAGGGTTGCTATGAGTCAGAAGTGACTCAATGGCAACAGGTTTGTGTTTTTTTTTTGTTTGTTTGTTTATAGGTACTACGTATCCCTAAATTTTTTTTATAACTATGAACACACATTGTTGTTGTTAGGTGCCGTCAAGTCGGTTCCGACTCATAGCGACCCCACGTACAACAGAATAAAACACTGCCTGGTCCTGCGCCATCCTCACAATTGTGGTTATGCTTGTGCCCACTGTTGCAGCCACTGTGTCAATCCATCTTGTTGAGGGTCTTCCTCTTCTTCACTGGCTGTCTACTTTACCAAACATGATATCCTTCTCCAGGGACTGACCCCGCCTGATAACATGTCCAAAGTATGTGAGACGTAGTCTCGCCATCCTTGCCTCTAAGGGGAGCATTCTGGTTGTACTTCTTCCAAGACAGGTTTGTTCGTTTTGATATAAATATCAAAAGTATTAAACAGCATACTCACATCGTCATATAGGAAATTCACAAACCCTTGTTGCAAGGGGTCTCTTCCCCTAAAGAAATCTTAAAAAAAAATTTTTTTATTATAATTTAAAATCTATAGTTTCAACTATCTAGTGTCCCCAGTTACTAAAAAATGAATAATTTCATATTCAATTAAATCTTAAGTTATCTTATATCCCACTCAGACATGAAGAAAACTTTCCAAAACTGAGCTATAACAATTTTTCACTATTTATATTCCTAAATGTTTAAAAATTTAAAACTCTGATTAGATTTAGGGGTGAACAAAGGAAAAGAAACACTTAATATTATAAACATGCTGAAGAAAATGAAAGACTATTCAAGAAAGACAGCTACAAAATACTGTACCCATTTTAAAATTGCAAATACCTGTCAATGCTCGAAGCTTCACACAGCAAGCAACATAATCATCAAAGAAAATTCTGCCGTTCTTGCTGTAACGTTTAACAATGGTAGTCAATGCTTGGGGACTTAATCTATAACCTAAAAACAAGAGATTGTTAAATTAAAACTTTAAAACTAACCAGCTTAAGAACACTCCAACACTGCATTCTCCTTAATAAAGTTGTAAAATAAATTAACTTTTAAAATGCACTCCATAAAAAATGTATATTAGAAACAAAACACATTCAGAAACTGATATAAGACTTCATTATTAACACTGTTAAGTGGTATATAAGTATCACAATTCTAGCTTTGTAATAAAGTCAAAGCTAAAGAAAAGAAAATAATCATCTTCTTATATATTTAAAATATACTTGGATTTTGAAACAATGTTTAGGATATTTCACAGGTTTGATGCTTCAATATTTCAATTCAGTAACTATAGGTCTTTTAAAGATATCAAAGGAAAAATTATTAGTGGTCTTCACTATCTTTAAAATAAATTTTCCGTTAAATATATAACTTGCAAGGACCTTTCACAGCCCAAGAAAATCTGAGGATCAACATGGTCAGCAGGAAGGGGACGAAACAGGACAATTTCATTCCCCTGTATTCTATAACCCTTACTCTACTTCTTCACACACTGTAATCTTTTTTTTTTTTATTGTTGTACTTTAAGTGAAAGTTTACAATTCAAGTTAGTCTCTCATACAAAACTTTATACATACATTGTTATGTGACCCTAATTGCTCTCCCTATACTGTGACAGCACACTCCTCCTTTCCACCCGATTCCCCGTGTCCATTCAACCAGCTCCTGACCCACTCTGCCTTCTCATCTCACCTCCGGACAGGAGCTGCCCATTTAGTCTCATGTATCTGCTTGAGCTAAGAAGTACACTCTTCACGAGTATACTTTATGTCTCATAGTCCAGTCTAATCTTTGTCTGAAGAATCTGCCTCAGGAATGGTTTTAGTGCTGGGTCGACAGAGAGTCCAGGGGCCATGCCCTCCAAGGTTCCTTCAGTCTCAGTCAGACCATTAAGTCTGGTCTTTTTACTAAAATTTGAGTTCTGCACCCCACTTTTCTCCTGCTCCATCAGGGACTCTCTGTTGTGTTCCCTGTCAGGGTGGTCATTGGTAGTAGCCGGGCACCATCTAGTTCTTCTGGTCTCAGGCTGATGCAGTCTCCGGTTTATACATACTGTAATCTTAACCACAACCCTCTTACTGTATTTCCTTGGTTCTGTGTTGTGTTGTTCAGTTTCATGGTCTCCAAACTTTTTTGATAATGTACTCTGATCAGTAAAAAGTTTTTAAGCACTGACTGCTGTTATATGTGTATTTATTTAGTTTTAAATTCTATACATGTATTAAGGAGCCCTGGTGGCACAGTAGTTAAGCACTTGGCTGCTAACCGAAACGGTGGTGGCTCCAAACCACAAGCTGCTCTGCAGAAGAAAGATGTGGCAGTCTGCTTCCATAAAGACTACAGCCTTGGAAACCCTATGGAGCAATTCTACCCTGTCCCATAGGGTCGCTATGAGTCAGAACTGACTTGTCGGCAGTGGATTTGGTTTTGGTTTATGTATATTTTAAAATATAAATAATCAAATAGTAACATGTATATAACCTGAGTGGAATCCAGCTCATAGTGACCCTACAGGACAGGGCAGAAGTGCCCCATAGGGTTTCCAAGGCTGTAAATCTTTAGGGAAGCAGACTGTCACATCTTTCTCTGGCAGAGTGGCTGGTGGATTCCAACTGCCGTCCTTTCCGTTAGCAGTTGAGCACTTTAACCACTACGCCAACAGGGCTCCTT